GTTTCTGGGTTAAAAGTATATGGGTGAAAAGCATGTGCAAGAAGAGTTTCTGTGTGAAAAGTCTGTGCAAGAAGAGTTTCTGGGTGAAGAGTCTCTGGGTGAAAAGTATATGGGGGAAAAGTATGTGCAAGAAGAGTTTCTGGGTGAAGAGTCTCTGGGTAAAAAAAATATGGGTGAAAAGTATGTGCAAGAAGAGTTTCTGGGTGAAGAGCCTCTGGGTTAAAAGTATATGGGTGAAAAGTATGTGCAAGAAGAGTCTCTGGGTGAAGAGTCTCTGGGTGAAAAGTATATGGGTGAAAAGTATGTGTAATAAGAGTTTCTGGGTGAAAAGTCTCTGGGTGAAAAGTATATGGGTGAAAAGTATGTGCAAGAAGAGTTTCTGGGTGAAGAGTCTCTGGGTAAACAGTATATGGGTGAAAAGTATGTGCAAGAAGAGTCTCTGGGTGAAAAGTCTATGGGTGAAAAGTATGTGCAAGAAGAGTTTCTGGGTGAAGAGTCTCTGGGTGAAAAATATATGGGTGAAAAGCATGTGCAAGAAGAGTTTCTGGGAGAAAAGTATGTGCAAGAAGAGTTTCTGGGTGAAGAGTCTCTGGGTGAAAAGTATATGGGTGAAAAGTATGTGCAAGAAAAGTTTCTCAGTGAAGAGTCTCTGGATGAAAAGTATATTTGGTGAAAAGTATGTGCAAGAAGAGTTTCTGGGTGAAGAGTGTCTGGGTGAAAAGTGTATTGGTGAAAAGAATGTGCAGGAAGAGTTTCTGGGTGATCAATCTTTGGGTGAAAAGTATTCACTGAAAAGTATGTGCAAGAAGAGTTTCTGGGTAAAGAGTCTCTGGGCGAAAAATCTATGCCAGAAGAGTTTCTGGGTGAAGAGTTTCTGGGTGAAGAGTCTCTGGGTGAAAAATATATGGGGGAAAAGTATGTGCAAGAAGATTTTCTGGGTGAAAAGTATATGGGTGAAAAGTATGTGCAAGAATGGTTTCTGGGGGAAGAGTCTGTGGGTGAAAAGTATATGGGTGAAAAGTATGTGTAATAAGAGTTTCTGGGTGAAGAGTCTCGGTTAAAAGTATATAGGTGAAAAGTATGTGCAAGAAGAGTTTCTGGGTGAAGAGTCTCTGGGTAAAAAGTATATGGGCGAAAAGTATGTGCAAGAAGAGTTTCTGGGTGAAGAGTATATGGGTGAAAAGTATGTGCAAGAAGGGTTTCTGGGTGAAGAGTCTCGGGGTGAAAAGTATATGGGTGAAAAGTATGTGCAAGAAGAGTTTCTGGGTGAAGAGTCTCTGGGTGAAAAATATATGGGTGAAAAACATGTGCAAGAAGAGTTTCTGGGTGAAAAGTATGTGCAAGAAGAGTTTCTGGGTGAAGAGTCTCTGGGTGAAAAGTATATGGGGGAAAAGTATGTGCAAGAAGGGTTTCTGGGTGAAGAGTCTCGGGGTGAAAAGCATATGGGTGAAAAGTATGTGCAAGAAGAGTTTCTGGGTGAAGAGTCTCTGGGTGAAAAGTATATGGGTGAAAAGTATGTGCAAGAAGAGTCTCTGGGTGAAAAGTCTGTGCAAGGAGAGTTTCTGGGTGAAGAGTCTCTGGGTGAAAAGTGTATGGGGAACTGATGTGCAAGAAGAGTTTCTGGGTGAAGAGTCTCGGGGGAAAAGTTATGGGCGAAAAGTATGGGTGGGTGAAGAGTCTCTGGGTGAAAAGTATATGGGTGAAAAGTATGTGCAAGAAGAGTTTCTGGGTGAAGAGTCTGGGTGAAAAGTATATGTGCAAGAAGAGTTTCTGGGTGAAGAGTCTCTGGGTGAAAAATATATGGGTGAAAAACATGTGCAAGAAGAGTTTCTGGGTGAAAAGTCTGTGCAAGAAAAGTTTCTGGGTGAAGAGCCTCTGGGATAAAAGTATATGGGGGAAAAGTATGTGCAAGAAGAGTTTCTGGGTGAAGAGTCTCTGGGTGAAAAGTATATGGGTGAAAAGTATGTGCAAGAAAAGTTTCTGGGTGAAGAGTCTCTGGGTGAAAAGTATATGGGTGAAAAGTATGTGCAAGAAGAGTTTCTGGGTGAAGAGTCTCTGGGTAAAAAGTATATGGGTGAAAAGTATGTGCAAGAAGAGTTTCTGGGTGAAGAGTCTCTGGGTGAAAAGTATATGGGTGAAAAGTATGTGCAAGAAGAGTTTCTGGGTGAAGAGTCTCTGGGTGAAAAGTATATGGGCGAAAAGTATGTGTAATAAAAGTATATGGGCGAAAAGTATGTGTAATAAAAGTTTCTGGGTGAAGAGTCTCTGGGTGAAAAGTATATGGGTGAAAAGTATGTGCAAGAAGAGTTTCTGGGTGAAGAGTCTCGGGGTGACAAATTTTGGGGAACATAGGTATAGATGGGATGCTGGCTTTCGTTCCCCCCTTCTCAGGTTTGGATGATTCGGATACCCTCTGGTCAACTAACATAGCTATAGAAAATCCCCATTTTGAATAGGTAAATCAACTATAAATGGCCATTTTCAATAGCTATGTTAAATTACCAGAGGGTAAGGTTAAACTCTGATTTCCCCTTCCCTTCGGATGTTTTTTTCGCCCGCGACACGGCCCCTATCATTCCTTGTGCGTTCCAGGGCAACACCCGAGTCCTGGAGCCCTTTGACCTTCCTGCGACTGCTTTGCTACGCCAGGCGCGATTTTATTTTGGATGGGCTGTTTTTCCACAGTCTTGTTGGGTTTTGTTTAGTTCAAACAGGGTTTAAGAATCTGAAGAAGAACACTAGCATCTTGGGTGTCCCAGTTTTTTCCACAAGAGGGTTTTCTTCACACCTCGCACATGTAGATTCCGGCCGAATAATCATTGCTGCACTTGCAGTTTGAGCAGTGGGTACTTTGCCCAACCTTTTTATTGTTTTCAGAGCTGTGCATTCAGAATGCCCACGTTGCCACAACACCGGGCCCTCGTTGTTTGCAAAGCGAATACAGCACTTGTCCAGCAGTGACACCACAACATACACACACAACAGACCCGACAACCATCATTTATCCACCATTGGATGAATGTGTGCGAATGGCTCGCGACGTGTGCCTGACATTTGCACATGTACACGAACGTTTTCAGCCCCACATCATTACCCTGACCCGGAAGCCATGATCGTTGCTAAAGCGTCAAGCAAAGCACTGGGGACGTATGATGCGTGTGTGGCATTTGCACAAGAACAACCCGATTCCGCTGACCCATGAGCCAAGATAGATGCTACAGCGTAGAAGCAGTGGGGACCATGCATGTGTAGTGTTTGCAAATGTACACCAAAGTCAAAGTCAGAAACTTTTCCCTGACCCCTAAGCGTACAGGCCATAGGAGTCGGGGCCAGCAACTTGAAGTTATCTATACATGGACTTTTTGAGGTGGAGAAAATCTGACTCATACAAAAGGGAACGCCATCCAGACCATCCAGTATCCTCATCCTGCAGTCAAGCATGGCATATGATAAACTCTTCAATATGAATGGGGAAATTATCGATACTACCTGGAGATGAATTGGCTAGTGGGGAAATTGAATCTATACTTGTACCCAGATGAGTCGGAGATCATGCCTGTACACGAACTCCCACTACACCTGAGTTGGGAGCTGGGCTTGTGCTGATGAACGCTGATGAGTATGGCGATTTCGATGCATCACTTTACAAACTCCAGCGCGCACACAGAGATATGTTCAAGTATTTCAAGTACACGTGTTTTAGTTGGAGCACGCAAACAAGTCTGCTTGACCTGAGTGGTTTTTTTCACCTCAATAATTTCACAGCAAATGGCTGATCTTCTTTGAACATGAAAACATACATGACACACCAAAGCCCGGGGCAAGGATTTAAGCACGCGAGGAAAACTATGTAAAACACACGCGTCAAGACAAACAGTCAGGCATTTTTACACAACAAAAACCTCTCGATTCATTACGGTGTAGCTGTGGCCTTCGAAGCCAACAGGTTCAGTCCAGTGTTGCTGGTGGTACTTCCTTTTCCGTCATGGAGTCATCCACCTGAATTCATGGGCAGTGCGCAAGGCTTTCTTCGCTCCTGTTCACTGCTGACCAGCTTCTTGACAGCCCAGCGAGACCCTTCGGGGACCGGCAGTGCTCGCAAGTAGTTTGCTGAGTGTCTGCCAAGTTTCAACATGTGCTTGGCTGGGGCCCCTTGGGGGCCGGCTTGAAACTTGAATTCGACAGCACCAAGCGTGGGGTAAGCTCATGAGAAACATGTAGATGAGGTAGATGGCTGAAGTACCGCTGGAAAACATGGAGGCTTTGTGGCTAGATAGCGATGCAGCCAGACTCTCTTGTGGTGGGATGGAACAGGACTTTGTGGTCTCGAGGTCCTGATTTTTTTCTGGCTCTTTTTGGAGAATTGAGTTCACCGAGAATTTGCGAACACGAAGATCCAAGAAAAACACATATCCAATGGGCAAACCTTCGGACCTTTGGAGTTGGACCCATGAAAAGATGATGCAAACAGATATCCATAGAATTGCATAGATGTCTCTGAAATCCTGACCACTTGGTACCATCGACATGGTGCCAGTGTAAAGACCACGCGCGTCGCAGCATTCTGAATCGGAGAATTTCTGGGTCCTTTCAGATTGCAAGTCACGCCACTTGTCATTGGAGATCACCATGATAATCCACTGTAATGACATTTAGATTTTAGACATTGTTTGGATATCTACCCAATGGACATAATGGATGACATCCAATGGATCACCGGGATCCCTGAAACGGAGATAACAAAACTGGAATCCATTCCCAGGCAATGTCCGCTAGGTCCCATCATATTTTTTTGGAGATAAACAGACACACATTCTCAATGACTCAATGATGAGCAAAAAAAAATACTTACCTGAGTAATTGGTACTCAATGATCACACATTAAATGTATTACTGGGATGACTCAATGAATATCTCAATGACACGGGGATACTCAGAATAGACTGACCAGCATCTCTTTTTTTATCCTCGTGATCTCACCATAGTCCCACTACATATGCCATCTCCATGGAGACTGGGATGCGCCATGGGCAATGTGGGCAATGCGTTGACGCGGCCCAGTCGCGGAAGGACGGATGCCTCACCAAGGTGCAGGATGAGCTCCTGGGCTGTTTATGGGGTGGTAAACATCGGGGGGTTCAACCATGGCACGGGGGATCCCCAGTCGTCACCATGGTTGTTTCAATACGAATTCATGGTCATCCATAAGTTGGATGCAGTACCCCCGTACCCCCCATGACTTTAGAAGCTTCCACCTGGCTTGGGTGCTTTGAATCACTTTGATTACTTTAGTCTTTGGTCATTGTTGTCGGGGAATATACAACCAGCTGAAGACAGAGCAATTTGTTCGCTATCTGAGATAGGTCATGATGTTGACTTAGGATTTCAAGGTAGCCTTATGGATTTGATTGAACACAGAGGGCAATCCAAAATCGTTGTTTGAACATAGAGAGGTAATCCAAAATCGCTGATTGAACATAGAGGGCAATCCAAAATATCTAATCCAAAATTGAATCCAAAATATTGAACATAGATTTCCAATTTCCCACACTTTCCCATTGATTCATGCTTTGTGTATACCTGATTTCTTCGCCAAGGCCATGGCACATCCAAGTGGGAATCATGTGCCACCCATGAGCTGGCACAGGTGATGAAACAGAAGGTAATTAAGGACACTGGTAATTTAATTCAATACATGTGCCATGCACATAGACATATATAATCATATACAATATATACATGTACAATATACATATGTGTGTACATATGTAGTATATACAGTATAATATATATATATATATACTGATTGGTGGTTTGGAACATGAATTTTATTTTTCCATTCAGTTGGGAATAATCATCATCCCAACTGACGAACTCCATCATTTTTCAGAGGGGTAGGCATACCACCAACCAGTATATATATATATATATATTTAAGTATATATATAGGTATATATCTGTATATAGGTATATATCTGTATATAGAGATATATTTATTTATTTATTTATTTATTTGGACATGATATTATTACACGATCTTTTTCTCCGGCCATGACCTTGGGGCCATGACCTGCCATCGCGATGGTCTCCTTTTCGTCTCAGGCCAAAGCGCCTGCGACCGGCGGGCTATGGAGAAGAGGTGGTCTTGAAGAAGTATTGGACGCCAGACTGAAGGACTTAGTGGATATGTATAAATATAGTATCACATAGTTTGTATAACTATCCTATGTTATGCTTATGAATATTTATATCATAAATAGTTTTTTCAATCTATGATATAAATATATGGTATAACTATATATATATATATGATATAAACATATGATATAATACCCAGTCATGATTTTTGGATATAGAATATAAAATGAGATATACATCTTTCTGGTGCTAAACCGTAAGGAATGGGGGTTGCGATGATTGGGTTGCACCAGTAAGATGATCTGGGTTATGGCTCAACCACATTACAAGAAACGGGATATAGGTGTTATCCAGTGGTGAATGGAGGTACCAGTGAAGGAAGCTGGGTGTTTCCATAATTATTTATATTCCCAAGATAAAGCGGCGAGCGAGTTGGACCTATGAATTGGGTTTCCAGCCACATCATAGTTTTACTATTTTGAAAGTTGCTTCAAAAACCGTTCAGTAGGTATACCCTCTGGTTATGTCAAAATAGCTATTGAACATGACCATTAATAGTTGATTTTCCCATTAAAAATGGTGATTTTCAATAGCTATTTTGACATAACCAGAGGGTACCCACCTTGTAATCCAAGCAACGTAGCGCCCCGGGAGCCCCGGGAGCCCCGGGAGCGCATTTGCCCAGGAGAGAATGTGGCATCAAGGACGGAAGAGAGACATGCGCCTGGGCGTCGATCTTGGGGGTTTGGCCCATCCAAAAATACAAGTGTGTGTATATATATATTATATATTATATCACGGACGAATGCATAAATACATACATACATACATACATACATACATTAATTACATACGTTACATTGAATTACATTACATTACATTACATTACATTACATACATACATATATATATTACACACAGACGAATATTCAGGATTATTGCCACATCCGTATAAATAAATAAATAAATATATATATACATATCGGTATATAGAAATTAAAACCATGTATATGTGTAGATCGGAAATGCTGGATGTTGATTAGTGTAGGGGGGTCGCCGGCTAAACAATTGGAGGGCGATGAATATGTTTTTGTTGACCAAATTTGGGCAACCAAGGATCATGCGCTACGGATATCGATTCATATCAATCCACTTTCAAGTCATTTGCCCTTCTATTTCAAACTATATAAATCTGAGGATACGTATGGATTTCAATTCCCATTAATCTACTTTCAATTTATGTACCATTCTAACACAAAGAAATCTACGGACAAGTGAGGATTTCACTTCATATAAATCTACTTTCAATTCACGTTCCTTTATAACCCCAAAGAAATCTGAGGATACGTAAGGGCAAAGTAAGATACAACAGCTATAGCAAAAGGACACATAGATAAAGGGATTCCTGGAAAAAAATCACACCAAGAAGTACTTGGACACAATAGAGGACCCTTAAACAATCCTACTGGGAATCTGACTGGCTCATAGTGGCTACCCTTTTAAAGAATTGTTTGGGTTGTTTTTTAATGTACAAACATTGAAACAATTAAACATGATTTTGAAGTAGTTTTACTGTGGTTTATGGTCTGTTTGGTCAATAAGGACATGGGTACTTTGGGGAATTTGGCATTCACAGGATTGAAGGCGAATGGGACCAAGTAAGATCAAACAGGTGAACCCAGAAGAAATTAGGTCCGGGAAAAAACATTACACAATAGATACCCCCCCTGGCCATTCACAGGGTCTGGAGTAGTTTTTGATTTTTTGCCAGAATACCAGAGCAGGATGCAAATCAACATACTACAGTAGGTGTTAGTATAAATCTATTTGTATATAGATAAATATTAGAAATTTAAAGAACAAAATCAACATACTACATATCAAACATTTTAAGATAACATGAGTTCTTAGTACGGTCTGCTTTGTGTTCTTTGTTCTACAGACACCCTCTGGCTCGTCCATGCGTTGCCCACCATTCGGCCATGAGTGTGGCATGACCTCGTGCCAGCTTTCCTACTTTCCTTCACCTGTCTCCTCTAGTCCCAGTTTGCTTCAAAACCATATGTTGATTTTTTCCTTTCTTGTCTTTCTTTGAGAATAGTAAAATGTACTGTGTTTTTCCAATTCCATTTGTTTCCTTTTGCGGGTTTTTGCTGTGAGGATGTCTGTTGCAAGCCTTGTTTTTTGCAAGACATGCGAGTTTGCACCAGGAATCCTAGAAAAACAGGGTGAATCCGCAAAAGGAATTGGAAAAGGAACTACAAGGGAACTGGGGTGGAGAAATAAAACTGGAACAGCACATGACTTTAAGCCTTAAGCGTTACGAAATGCTCTATGCGAAGAGGAAGAACTCAACATTTTATTTGCACGGGAACTGGAATGCAGGAATTGGACAAATACAGGGCTTTAATGGTTGTGGCATATGGGAAATGAGAACTCACCATGTTGAAGTTTCACGTTTGTGGATGGACCATTTTGCAGTCGCAACTCGATGCACCTATGACAAGAAGGCATTGCAAGGTAGACAGGTTTGACTTCTTCAAACCTTTGATATCCTTTGATTGTATCTGGAACATTCTGAAACCCCATTCACCCCAATCTCAATGTCCTCAATGTTGGTTGCTTCAAAGCATGGCCACCGATGAATGAATGAAAACACCCTGGAAGTGTGACATGGAGCCATGAAGCAACTTACATTGAAATTCAGGGGGCGCTAGGGGAACTTACAGGTCCCGCGCTTGGGGTTTGATGGAAAAAAAGTTGCGTATCTACTGTAGTTACTATTAGGTATTAGTAGGTATTAGTTATATATACAAAAATAATTATCCGGATATATTATGTATATCTTTATAGGGTAAAGGCTGGAGGCTCCCCTGAAGGCAAAAAAAATGAATTGGTCTCAGATGATGATAACATGTTATTTTCAACTGTCCTTTACAATGTTTTCTGCTCTCCCTTCAACATGACAATACATTTAGTTTATGAACTTCGCCGCGAACATGGTTGACTTTGTTCGCGTGAAAAATTCAACATTTCATTCTTATGATCTTTGTCATTCAAGGTCGAAATCGGAGAAACCATTGGAATTGCGGATTGGGAGTTTATCCTTTTGATTTGAAGAGCTTGAAATCTCATAATTTCCCGGAGAACTATTGTCGAAATGCAGATATTTTTTGCGTTTGTTTGTACGATTTCACATCCACAACGCAGTCTTGAAACTGTCAGCGGGTTTGACAGCACCGTTGTGACGACATCTGAGAACTTCCAGGACAGAGTTGAGACACCACCCCACCACCCCATCTGTATGCTACATTGCAAGACTGAAGGTTCCTGGAAGCTCCGCGGAAGCTCCAGACTTGGGGGTCTTTATATATGGGTGTTTCCACACATGGACTGCGGTCATGAACCGTTGAAATGGCGGAACCGTTCACCTTTGAAATGTTGAGATGTTTCTCCGAAAAACATATAAACATCGGGTGTCCCCCAAATCATCCATTGTGCTTGATCATTTTGCTCATCAAACTATCCACATCTTTTCCAATAGATGGCCTTATCCCCTGGATCTCGGGGATGATGAGAGGTGGTCCGGTTTCCTTAGGTGGCGAAGAGGTGGATTGCAGCCAAGCGATCCAGGTCATCCTGGAAATTAATCCCCATGAGCTGAAACTGGGCTGATGGATTCGGACTTTTTTTTGGGTGGAACAACTGCAGATCCAGCGAGAAGTTCGGAATTTTCAGATTGGGAGTCCATATGTTGGACACTTTAAAAAGTGTCGGATGTTTTTGAAGGGTGTCTTCTTGATGTTTGTTTATTTGAATGGTTGTTCACTGTTTTTTGGGATGGTTTTGCGCCGGGCAAAGCAGAGAACTCTATGGTAGAGGGTGGACGAAAATCGCAACCACCATTGGGTCTGAACCTTTGCCAAGTTTTGGGATACCCTCTGGTAAACTAACATAGCCATGGAAAATCATAATTTTAATGGGTAAATCCACTATAAATGGCCATTTTCAATAGCTAAGTTAGTGTACCAGAGGGTATGTTCAGAACCTGAAATTGTGAACTGCAAAGGACGCAACAATTCAGCAGGCAGCACTATCAATGGAACTTTCCAAGCCTCAAATGGGTTGGTTCCGGGTGGATCTCGGCTCCCAGGAAGAAAGTGGAGGATCAATCCGAACAGCCTCTTGGCGTTAGGGGTCAATCCCTGTCAGACACGGCTATGTTGTTCCATGAAATTTCTGTGTGGAGCATAGTAAGCACCCCAAAAATGTGGAAAAGTCACTTATCATCAAAGGAAGTTTAGGGGGAGAAACTTCCGTGTTACGGACTTTTAGAATGTCAGGGAAAGAGTTAGTCAAAGAAAGAGTTAGCAAAGAAAGAGTTAGTGAGGGAAAGAGTAAGTCAAAGAAAAAGAAAGAGTTCGTCAGGGAAAGAGTTAGTCAAAGAAAGAGTTAGTCAAAGAAACAGTTAGTCAGGGAAAGAGTTAGTCAAAGAAAGAGTTAGTGAGGGAAAGAGTTAGCAAAGAAACAGTTAGTCAAAGAAAGAGTTATCAAAGAAACAGTTAGTCAGGGAAAGAGTTAGTCAAAGAAAGAGTTAGTCAAAGAAAGAGTTAGTGAGGGAAAGAGTTAGTCAAAGAAAGAGTTAGTGAGGGAAAGAGTTAGTCAAAGAAAGATTTAGCAAAGAAACAGTTAGTCAGGGAAAGAGTTAGTCAAAGAAAGAGTTAGTGAGGGAAAGAGTTAGTCACAGAAAGAGTTAGCAAAGAAACAGTTCGTCAGGGAAAGAGTTAGTCAAAGAAAGAGTTAGTGAGGGAAAGAGTTAGTCACAGAAAGAGTTAGCAAAGAAAGAGTTCGTCAGGGAAAGAGTTAGTCAAAGAAAAAGTTAGTCAAAGAAACAGTTAGTCAGGGAAAGAGTTAGTCAAAGAAAGAGTTAGTGAGGGAAAGAGTTAGTCAAAGAAAGAGTTAGTGAGGGAAAGGGTCAGTCAAAGAAAGGGTTAGTGAGGGAAAGAGTTAGTCAAAGAAAGAGTTAGTCAGGATATATGAGGTAGTCAAAGAAAGAGTTAGCAAAGAAACAAGTTAGTCAAAGAAAGAGTTAGTGAGGGAAAGAGTTAGTCAAAAGAGTTAGTTTAGTCAAAGAAAGAGTTAGCAAAGAAACAGTTAGTTTAGTCAAAGAAAGAGTTCGTCAAAGAAACAGTTAGTCAGGGAAAGAGTTAGTCAAAGAAAGAGTTAGTCAAAGAAAGAGTTAGTCAGGGGAAGAGTTAGTCAAAGAAAGAGTTAGTCAAACAAAGAGTTAGTCAAAGAAACAGTTAGTCAGGGAAAGAGTTAGTCAAAGAAAGAGTTAGTGAGGGAAAGAGTTAGTCAAAGAAAGAGTTAGTGAGGAAAAGAGTCAGTCAAAGAAAGAGTTAGTGAGGGAAAGAGTTAGTCAAAGAAAGAGTTAGTCAGGATATATGAGGTAGTCAAAGAAAGAGTTAGCAAAGAAACAAGTTAGTCAAAGAAAGAGTTAGTGAGGAAAAGAGTTAGTCACAGAAAGAGTTAGCAAAGAAATTGTTCCCTCACTGTACATGGGATTGCAAGTGGTGCTGGTGGAGGAGTTGCCGATGGAGTTTTGGAGGAAGTCTCGCACGAAATGCGTTTTTGAGAGATAGCAGATGCACGAAAGCCTATGTTTTTCCATACAAAGTTCGTCCCCGAACGTCGATGATCTACCTCTGCGGTGCGACGGGTGCGAGACGGTCTCGTGTGTGGTCGGATCATGGGCGGATCGGTCTCGGACCATGGTCGGATCGGTTCCGCATTGTAAATGGGGTTTCAAGTGTTTTTCGTGCATGTGCGGTCGACAGAATTCCATTGTGATTTGCAACTGTAGGATCGTTCCCGCATTGTAAATGGGGTTGCAAGTGGTGCTGGTGGATGAGTTGCCGATGGAATTCCATTGTGATTTTCAACTCTAGGATCGTTCCCGCAATGCAAATGGGATTGCAAGTGGTGCTGGTGGATGAGTTGCCGATGGAGTTTTGAAGGAAGTCTCGCACGAAATGCGTTTTTGAGAGATAGCAGATGCAGGAAACCCTATGTTTTTCCATACAAAGTGCGTCCCCGAACCTCGATGATCTACCTCTGCGGTGCGACGGGTGCGAGACGGTCTCGTGTGTGGTCGGATCATCCTCGGATCATCCTCGGATTGGTCTCGGATCATGGTCGGATCGGTCTCGGATCGGTTCCGCATTGTAAATGGGGTTTCAACTGTGTTTCGTCTATGTGCGGTCGACAGAATTCCATTGTGAATTGCAACTGTAGGATCGTTCCCGCAATGTAAATGGGATTGCAAGTGGCGCTGGTGGATGAGTTGCCGATGGAATTCCATTGTGATTTGCAAGTCTAGGATCGTTCCCTCCCTGTAAATGGTTGCGTCAAGGTTCCTTCGTGCTGTGGCTGCATTGGTAATACTATTGTCTTTTGCAGCTGGACTTCGTAAATCGTATTGGAGTGGCTGCATGAAGGCTGCCACAGTGATTTGTCAGCAGATTTTCTCCACTTTGGCGCTAGTGATTTTCCTTCTAAAAATCCTTTTCAAAAGTGCTTCAAAATCGTCTTTTTTTCGCTCTGGCGTCGAGATCCGGTTTTGGAGCTACAATTTCCGACGCCGTTGCGCGTAGTTCTATTGTGTTTTGTAACTCTGTCTCTGCAGATCGCATTGTAATGGCTGTGTCAAGGTTGCTTCGTGCTGTGGCTGCATTGGTAATACTATTGTCTTTTGCAGCTGGATCTCGTAAATCGTACAGGAGTGGCTGCATGAAGGCTGCCACAGTGATTTTGTCAGCAGATTTTCTCCATTTTGGCGCTAGTGATTTTCCTTCTAAAAATTCTGTTAAAAAGTGCTTCAAAATCGTCTTTTTTTCGCTCTGGCGTCGAGATCCGGTTTTGGAGCTACAATTTCCGACGCCGTTGCGCGTAGTTCTATTGTGTTTTGCAACTCAGTCTCTGCAGATCGCATTGCAATGGCTGCGTCAAGGTTGCTTCGTGCTGTGGCTGCATTCGTAATATATACTATTGTCTTTTGCAGCTGGATCTCGTAAATCGTATTGGAGTGGCTGCATGAAGGCTGCCACAGCGATTTGTCAGCAGATTTTCTCCATTTTGGCGCTAATGATTTTCCTTCTAAAAATCCTTTTAAAAAGTGCTTCAAAATCGCTCTGGCGTCGAGATCCGGTTTTGGAGCTACAATTTCCGACGCCGTTGCGCGTAGTTCTATTGTGTTTTGCAACTCAGTCTCTGCAGATCGCATTGTAATGGCTGCGTCAAGGTTGCTTCGTGCTGTGGCTGCATTCGCAATACTATTGTCTTTTGCAGCTGGATCTCGTAAATCGTATTGGAGTGGCTGCATGAAGGCTGCCACAGTGATTTGTCAGCAGATTTTCTCCATTTTGGCGCTAATGATTTTCCTTCTAAAAATCCTTTTAAAAAGTGCTTCAAAATCGTCTTTTTTTCGCTTTGGCGTCGAGAAGTCTCCGCAGATCGCATTGGAATGGCTGCGTCAAGGTTGCTTCTTGCTTTGGCTGCATGCGTAATGTCTTTTGCAGCTGGATCTCGTAAATCGTATTGGAGTGGCTGCATGAAGGCTGCGAAATGGGTTTGTTAGCAGATTTTCTCCATTTTGGCACTAGTGTTTTTTTTGTTGGACGTACGTTTAGAGCAGTGTGAAGTGTGGGGCGTGAAGAGTGCAGTGTGAAGTGTGAAGTGTGAAGGAAGCAGTGGGAAGTGAGAAGTGTGAAGTGTGGAGTGTGAAGTTTCAGTTTGGAGTGCGAACAGCGCAGTGTGAAGTGTGAAGTGTGAGGTTTGGAGTGTGAAGGAAGCAGTGAGAAGTGAGAAGTGTTAAGTGTGAAGTGTGAGTGAAGTGTGGAGTGTGAAGTGCGAAGTGAGAAGTGTGAAGTTTGGAGTGTGAAGTTTGGAGTGGGAAGGACGCAGTGAGAAGTGAGAAGTGTGAAGTGTGGACTGTGAAGTGTGGAGTGTGAAGTGCGAAGTGAGAAGTGTGAAGGAAGCAGTGAGAAGTGAGAAGTGTGAAGTGAGAAGTGTGAAGTGTGGACTGTGAAGTGTGGAGTGTGAAGTGCGAAGTGGGAAGTGTGAAGTGTGAAGTTTTGAGTGTGAAGGAAGCAGTGAGAAGTGAGAAGTGTGAAATGTGGAGTGTGAAGTGTGAAGTGTGAAGTGCGAAGTGAGAAGTGTGGACTGTGAAGTGTGAAGTGTGGACTGTGAAGTGTGAAGTGTGAAGTGTGGACTGTGAAGTGTGAAGTGTGCAGTGTGAAGTGTGAAGTGTGAAGTGTGAGGTTTGGAGTGTGAAGGAAGCAGTGAGAAGTGAGAAGTGTGGAGTGTGAAGTGTGGAGTGTAAAGTTTGAAGTTTGGAGTGCGAAGAGTGCAGTGTGCAGTGTGAGGTGTGGAGTCTCGAGGGAAGGACACGGTCGGGACAGGTTGTCTTTGAACTATAGGTCATTTATGTTTGGGAAACTTCCGCCGCCGGCGTGCCCGGGTCTATGTTATCTTATCATTATTTTCCTACTATTTTTACTGTAGCGTTTTTATTTTTTGTTTTTACATCAACTTCTATGTCTTTGGGGTTGCGATGTATTCAGATCCTGCGAGAAAAACATCGCCCTTGTGACGGACCCTTGGGAGGGACCCCACCCGAGGTTTGAACTGGTCTTCGTGATGAAGATGTACTGGCAGGCGCCAGGATTTTTTTCGACACCTATTGCGATAAAATTTTGTTAAACATCCAGACTTGGAATGGATAGGAAAACTTCTGGGAATTGCTTAGAACATCTTCCGCTTGAACTCTGTATACTTGCGGATAAAAAAAACATCGTTTCAACCGTAGATTTTCCCAAGACAAACCCATTGATCAGCCATCACTAGCCATCACCTGGCCGTGATTTGCTGCCTGGGATTGTGGGTTGCATAATTGCTCACTTCACATTTTTTGAATTTGTTTGATACTTTTTGGATCTTTTTGGCCACTTTAGTGAGTATAGCGCTGAAAAATCATCGACTTCCCAAGTCTTCTGCTAGGATCCGAAGCTGCATAGCTTCTGGACGAAGGCCATGTCGGACAGAAACACGGCAGCCCGCAGTGGTGGATTTGTTCATTTTGGGCATCCCACTTGACTGGCGCAGCAAGCCCTTGATGGTTGTCCCGAGATTCAATTCGGCAGAATTGAGGCAACATCTTTGGACAATCCTAGATTTGGCAAGAAAACATGCAAAACCATGCTAGAACCATTGGCACACCGTCTAAAAGCACATCAAGACAAGTCATTTTTTCTGGCTTGGACATCTTGCAGGGATTTCTCACATGCAAAAATTCACACAGACCCCCCTAAACACTCAATGATATTTATTTTAAACGAAGTGCAGGTGGTGCTCCGCAAGAATCAGAAGGTGGAGGATTGGATGTCCAACAGGGCGGATGAGAGTTTGATTCCTGAATCGCAAGAACCTGGCTGATGTCACCATGAGGATTGGTAACAACCCCTAAATCAACGATGTGGAGGTTTCCTACAATGTGAGGCCCCCAAGATAGCTAAGTTGGTTTATAACTCCAATAACTATGGTTTATAGTACTTATAACTATAGTTAATGGGGTTTATAAACCAACAAACATATCTGGGGGGCCCCACATTGTAAGTCATGGTACTCCAAGTCAGGCAAGTCATGATTGACCATTTTTCAATGCTTTTGAAACAGCCATGGTAACGACTGGGGATTCACCATTCCAGGTGAGGCGGTGAAAATATCACCCACCATTGAAGGGACCCTAAACCTTCCAGTTTTACCTGGAAAATTCTGGTACCAAGAAGGAAGGTTGTATTCCAGATTGAATACACCCATATACCCAAAAGCATTATTATATGATAGTTCACCGCTTCCTTCGATACTTCGAATACATCCGTGGATTTCCTCACTAGGATTATAGCAAGCTATGTTTCCCGTGTGGGCCAAGGATCCACCCTCCCCACTGGCCCGGCATTCCGGCACCGACAGGGCAAAGAAGCGCCAGCAGAGGATGCGGGTCATGGTGACGGTGGCGAAGACGGAAGTTCGAAGGATTCGCTGCAAGCCTTTGAAGCGCCCTTGCAGGAGAGAATTGGACAGGGACCATTTTCCCTGAATGCCAGATGAATTGTATAGAGTAAATTCCGTACAAAATCAAACAACCATAGATACAGACAGACAGACTGACGGACGGACAGACAGACACACAGACAATCATACATAAATACATCATTACACACACACATACACATTGTACGTGTATATATATATATACACATCGGATCACATAGGTATATATATATACACATTTTTCACCAGATGTCGACCAAATTTCAGCATCAGCACCTTTGCAAGCTCCTGACAGAGGGTTTTGCCACGCCTCAGGAGGTTGAAGGGGTGGTGCGACGGAAGTACCTCAACGGGGACCTCCTCTTCGTTGAAAAAGATGGAAAAGATGGCGCGGGACCTACCTCTGGGGGGGGCAAAGGATGACAAGACTTCATCAAGGAGATTTTTTGGAGGATATCCTGTACATGATTGTTATTTGCGGATTATTTGCTTGGAGGGTTCATATGAACAAGCTATACTTAATGATGTCGTACATTCATACATTCATTCATACATACATACATTGAAAGAAAGATAGAAGAAATAGATACATAGATACACAGATGCATAGATACATCGATACACAAATGCAAACACAGATAGATAGATAGATAGATAGATAGATAGATACATACCATTACATTACATTACATTACATTACATTCCATACCATACCATACCATACCATACCATACCATACCATAACATACATACATACATACATACATACATACATACATACGTACATACACACGTACATACATGCATACAACATACATTCAAACATTTATAAATTACTCTATTCATACATTTATGCATTCCTTCCTTCCCTCATTCATACATACATGAATGTATGTATATGCATATGTATGTGTATATATATATATGTATGTATATCAATGATAAACACATATGCACATGTGCATATATTATATTAATATTTATATGCAAATATATTATGTATATATATATATACATATGCATATATATATACACACATACATACATATATATATATATATATGTATATATATATACATACTATATACATAGGATCATAATGGATTATATTTGGGATATGTACACATTTAAGGTTCTTGGCATTTTACATATTTCATATTTATTCTTCAGGTCGCTTTGGTAGGGATTCCAAGTCTCAGGTCAGGAAAACCCCTGTGAATTCGTTGAACCCAATGTGAATGCCTTGCCCTTC